TCTTCACGATACCCATAATTGAGAATTAGATCGCTTCAACCAAACATTTACAAGATCAAACAGGGAGAGGACATGGATTTGCATTTCCGGCTCATGGCAACCGACTCCTAGAAGCGAACAATGGATGATAACAGAGACTTTAGGTCGGAACGGGACCTTTCCCTTTGATCGATATGCAAGGTTACACCCACACAGTCGCAACTCCCGGCGGACAAGAGCTCCTCATTTGCGGGTGTTACCCGGGATGCGCCAGCCCGCGATCGTCTCTCGAATCCTGCCCGCGGATAAAGTGTGGGTTGCATGTGGGCAATATCACACAGCATATCTCATAAGACGGGCCTTCCCCGCTCTTCACCTCTTCTTCAATGACACCAACGTTATCGCGGTTGGAAAGGTGGAAGCAGGATGGTTTGGTCACAGCTATGGACAACCGTGGTGACGTGCGTGCTGCTGGTATCGCCGGTGAATTCTCAACAGACGGGAAATAACCCAGATTGGCCGAGATGGTGCGGGAAGGTGTATGAAGCTGGGTAATTTCTCTCCTCACATCTTATCAGGGATAATTGTTAACACCAACAGGTATCCCAACTTCGACCCAGGCGGACAGACAGTCGAACCCCCTCCCCATCCCTGCGGCTGCCCTCTCCTCCACGTCCAGTTCCAGCCCCGATACAGCCTCTACGTTTCCACCGAAACAACCGGTGAATTCGTCGTCAACGCTGCCTTCTCCCCGTACCACGGCACCATCTGGCCGCCTACCAATTCCACGACCCGGTGGGCCGGCAGGCTCGTCTTCTCCATCAACTCAGTCGAGACCGACGCCCCTTTGGTTCAAGCAACTGTTCCAGTCAACACAACAGGCAACCGCTTCCAGTTCAACCTTTCCCATCTCGGCCCCCCCAGACTTGAGCCCTACCCGGTCGTTCTCTACGGCGCCCCGGAGTCAGGTCAGCCAAGCTGGACGGCAACAGCCAACGTCTCGTATTTGCCGGATAAAACAAACGGGAGCATCACCCGGATCGACAGCTGGAAAGGCGGGCTTTGGGTGAAGAACGCCGCTTCGAACAATACCTTTGAGCCGTACCTACCGTATGGGTTCTACGCTTCGCACGACAACTTCCTACGAGAAAACGACACCAAGCTGATCGATGCGTACCGAGACTTGGGGCTCACGGGGATGGTGCCCCTGGCCAGTTGGGCCGAGATTCCGGAGGTGTTGAGTCACATGGATGGAATTGATCTGAAATACATGTACAACCTCCGCTATGGGTACAAGAACCTGAGCTATGTCGAGGAGAACGTTCTCCGGGCGAGGGGCAAGGAGGGGCTTTTTGCGTACTGGACCGCGGATGAGTATGTACCCTAACCCCCCTTTCGAAAACCCCCCATCGTTTCTATGCTTACAGCACGAAGACCGGACGGCTGGCAAGACCCCTTCCACCTCCCCGTCGCCGCCCGATCCAAGATCCGGGAGCTGGACCCGTACCACCCCAGTGTCGTCACCCTAAACTGCCAAAACTACCACTTCGCCCAGTACAGCTCCGGCGCCGACATCCTCATGTCAGACGTCTACCCCATCGGCATAAACGCCACCTTCTCCAAATGGAACACCGCCTGCAACCTCACCCACGGCGACTGCGGCTGCGACAACTGCCTCGGCATCGTCCAGGACGTCCCCTCCCGCCTCGACACTTTGGGCCAGCACGAACGCTGGCTCGGCCTCTGGCCCAAGACAAAATTCCACAACCCCCAAAGTTTCCACGGGCAGGATTACTGGCTGAGGGACCCCACCGTGGGGGAGGAGCACGCGATGAATGTTTTGGCTTTTAACCATGGTGCCAAGGGGATCATAAGCTGGCTTTGGCCGACGAGCACTGTCCTTGCGGAGGCGCATGGGCAGTTGGCCAAGGTTGTGACGGGGGGGATGGTGAGGGGGTTTGTTGTGGGGGGTGATCAAGTCGAGGGGCCGAGGGGGGTGGGAACGAGGGTGAGGGGGAATGAGAGGGTTGAGGTCGTCGACGCGGCGGTGTGGGTTGATGGAGACAAGAAGAAGGGGTTGGTTGGGGTGGTGAATGGGGGGTATGCGGATTTGGAAGGGAGGGTGGAGGTGGATTTGGGGGGGACGAATGTGACGACGGTGGAGGGGGTTTTGTGGGGGGATGTGAAGGGGTGGAAGGTGGAAGGGGAGAAGTTGGTGGTTGACGAGGGACTGCCGGCGTTGGCAACGAGTCTTGTTCTGGTCGCTCTCAGGGGTTGATGGCTTGTCGATCGGATGGGGATGCAACCCTTGATCCAGATTGTTCTTCTGCCGATCTCCAGCTGTTGTTTTCACACCCATCAAACCCAAGATGTCACCAGCTCAGTTCCCACAACATAGCCAGTGGAGCTGTTGAAGGAAAGAAAACCGTGGGTATCATTAGCTCATACATATCCCTATCCACTTGATTGACCAAGTAACCATCGTACACCCCAACTCTGCCATTACCCTGTTCTGTTGTCCCAACTTCCTCACCCCAAATCAAGAATTCCTACCCCTTCAAAACCTCGTCGGAATAAACTTCTGCGCATCCTCCCTCTGCTGCTCCGCACTCTGCGGAAAAGCCGCAATGCCCGCCACAATGCCCGCCGCCATAAAACACAGCGAAATCACCGACCAGATAACCCCCCAACACTGACTCGACCCCCCATACCTCTTTGCAAACACACTCGCGTCCGAACTATTAACCTTTCTCAGGATCAAATCATCGCACTATTATCCTTTGTCAGCAACACCCCCCATCCCAAACCCAGCTTGTATGTGTGTATGTGTATGTGTGTGTGTGTGTGTGTGTGTGTGTGTGTGTGTGTGTGTGTGTGTGTGTGTGTGTGTGTGTGTGTGTGTGTGTGTATGTGTTTGTGTGTGTGGTTGGTGTCAGACTTACAATATCCCAAACACTATACAAACTGCTCATAACACCAATAAACAACACCACAAACCTCAACGCCTCCGCCCCCCTAATAAACCAACACCCCACCAGCAACCCAACCGCCGCCGCCACCGTCCCGACCGTGAGCCAATCCCTCCTCCCCCACCAAACCGTCATCAAAAACGCCACCCCGATAACAATGCTCGCAACCTTGCTCGCATTGATGTTAAACCCCGCAAACGTGAGCAACGCCCCGATGAGCGAACTCCCGAGGTACCCGGCCGGTAGAGTTAATCCTGACCTCCCACCCTGCATGTGCGTCACCCCCCCCTCTCTGGGGTCAAGGGATATGGACTTGACCTTCCCGCCGGTGAGCACACAAGTGATTGCGTGCCCGAACTCGTGAAAGGCGATGACGAGCATCTTGAAGGGCCAGAGGATCCACCGGATGTAGGGCACGTTCCAGAGGATGGCGATGCCGACTACGTAGGCGGCGATGACGCCGAGGGTGACTTTTTGGGCGTCGGTTACGGCGAGGGCGCGTTTGGAGATGACTGAGTGGTCTCGGGGGAGGAGGTGGGGTGTGAGGGTGAGGGCGGTTGCGCGGCCGAGGGTTGCCCAGGTTGGTGGTGGTGGGCTTGTGGGAGCCATCGTGGTGGTGGTGGTGTTTACTTCTAATTAGATACCGGTGTTGTAGATGGCGGGGTAAGTAAACAGTCGCGAAAAACGAATGTCGTCGCCGAGATAGCGTCGTCGGGAGGGGAGGGGGGGAAAAAACAGAAATGAAGAAAAAGAGAACAACAACAAGAAAATAGAGTTGAGAGTCTGGTGTTTCAAGTTTCCTCTTAACACCAAATGCTGCTGCGCCCTGCCCTGCTTGCGCGTTCGCCCGTCTGATCTGGCGTCTGATCCCGAGCTTCTGGTTGGCTATTGGCCCTGGGAATTCCAGGCGGCGGCTTGGTCAGTGCTGAGTGCGGCCACCCCTCCATCATTATTTTTAGTGAGAGGCGAGACGCGCTAAGCCCTGGGGTTGATGGAAAACTGCCGGGACCCTTGATCTTTGTGGGGCTCCACTCTTTCCTCAATCTTCACCACTCTTCAATTTTCTACCACATGAAATCCTCCAGGTACTGTAGAATATAGAAAGCTCACTCCTTCTTCAAAGCATCATGCCCCCAATTCTTCAAACTCTTATAACTCCTCCCCTCTGCATCCTTCTTCGCCTCCCCCTCCTGCGCCAAATGCCGTTTGCAATAAGCCACCACTTTTCTCATATGGGGTATATCCCCCTCCTCATACCCCTGCGGATCCCTCTCCGGGTTTTGGCTCAAGATCTCAACAATATGTCTCCCGCTTTCGTGTCCAATGCTCTCCCCCGACCCATCATCTTTTGCCCAGCCGGTGGACGTGGAGGCAGAGGTTGTCAGCCAGTCTTCCAGTTCCGGGGCTGTCATGTTGACTAGTTCGTTGAATTCTCTGTTCACATCTGTCGTCAATGCATGTTGGCATAGGTAACAAGGGTCGTGATGGTGCATACTGGATGACGGTGGAAGTGTCTTTGACCATTTTGACTGTAGATATCGTGAACTTGGAGGTGCGGATGTGGATTTGAGCTGTGTTATGGAATGCAATATGAGTAGATAGCAAGTTGAGGCGAGGTCCCCACACTCCCTTTATCGAGCCATCACATCACCTCACTACACTAAACCAAGACACCAACGTCATTGACATGCTCGCCATTCATCATACATCATTGTTCACATTCTCTCACCACCCTCTTCAATGACCTCACACAGCTACATCAAAAACACTCATTTCTGGTATCAACCTAAACTAATACCTCAGGCTACCAGCCCTCACCTCAAGAAATCAAAGAAAAAACAGCCGATACCCTCGCTATCTACCTCCCCCCCCTCCCATGATACCTAGTTTCGCTGTGAAAAACAGAAGAAAAGAGGGCATATTAAACGCCAAACATTAACCCTCAACCCAATTTTGTCCCCCCCCCCTCTTCCCTATGCGCCGCCTTTATTGAACATAATACAGTAGCTATGAGAGCCCCCAGATCTTGAACCTCTCAGACAACAACAAGAGAAAAAATTTCACCCCAATCCTCAAGCCTCTTAAATCCCCATCCCTCCTTTCATCTTGTCCAGTCATCCTCAATCTGTCAAAAAGGGCCAACTCCCTGTTATGTCGCGGTAACAAGAATGAAGGAACCGACAGATCAGACTAGACAACCCCTCGTCCCCTTTAATCTTCCGTTGAAAAATGAATGCAGATGCAAACCTGATTTTGACCCAATTGTCAAGGTCAAGATGTGGTTCTTTTCGCCCTGTGACTGTGATGATAGTCCCTCCAGAATACCACGCCCCAAGTGACTACGAAGAATGCAGAATATCCTCCCCAAAAACGCCAAAAACGCGAAAAACACCCCCCCTGTTATGCGATATCGACCTGACCCAACCCAAACTCCATGTACGTCTGATGCATGTACCGCCGAGATGGAAAAGATGCTTGAGACCAAAGGTCTACTACTCCCCCTTCACCTTGTGCTCCCTGCCAACCCTGACAATCAACTCAGAATAGGCGTTCTGGATCTGTTTCTTACTGCAATTGGCATTGTTGTCCATAAAGAGCTCAATCACTCCCACCTTACTCAGCGTGGGCCTCTCTCTGACCAGAGCCTTGAGCTTCTCCTGCAGATCGGGGGGCAGTGGCTGGTCAGATTTCTTCTTGCGCGTTCCAGCATTAAGAGCCTGGAACGCATCTGTGGGCGTGGTACAAGAGGCCTGTGTAGCAGACTGCTTTTTGGTCTTTGGACTCGAATCCGAACCGGATGACGATTTTGTCGCCTTCGCAGCTGCGCTCGACTTCTGGTTGCCTGTCTCAGATTTGGCCGGCTTGGAGGTTTCCCAGTAGGCGGCGGAGAAGGGGTCGACGCTGTGGTGATGTTCAAGTTTGTCTAGCAGCTGGTTAGCAAGGCTCGGCGTGACCGGGGAAATGTGTGGTTGCTTACCAAGAATAAACTCCATCCTCAACTTGTACATCTTCGGCTCAGATGTGCCACGCTTGCGGTTTTCCCAGCACAGTCCGCTGCTCTCAGGCTCCATCCCCCCAGAAAACACCATCCGTGAGGGCCCCACGTCATTCTCATCGTCGAGGAAATCCGCCATGTCCTCATCCTCGTCTTCATCATCTTCATCATCCAGGGACTCAATGTCTTCGCCATCCTCTTCCTGCCACTCAGCCTCAGAATCGTAGTCGTAGGCCAGAGGGAGGATGTCTGTCCGGATTGGGCGCCTGGCGAGCTTCTTGAGAGCACCAAGACCATTGGGGTAATCGCTGATGGTCCCAATATAGGGCGGCCGCACATCCTCGGAGAACTTGATGGAGATGACTGGAACCTGATTCAGGAGCTCCTGCAGGTGGTTAGCTTGCAGAGAAGTCCGAGACTCAGATGATGAGACTTCAGCCATGATCTTCTTGACGCTCGGGAAAGTGCGGCCACGTTTGACCTTGAACGGAAGCTCAAGTACCTCCATGGCATTGAAGCGAGAGGAAGGGGTGTGCGTCCGAGTGCCGTTGATGTACTCGTCAAGAATCTTAGTCTGCACCTCCCGAGTCTCCTCATCCATCTGGACTGGCGCTGGCGCCAGCTTGACATGCTCCTTGAGATAGAAGTCCTTGAACATTCGTTGATAAGCAGACTGTCCGCTGGCCTGAGTCTTGGTGGGTGTCTCTGTCGAGGTCGTCGCATCACCGCTCTGAGATTTGACGGCTGGCTGGTCCTTCTTGGATGTGCTGGACTTCAAGCCGAACATGCTGGTAAGAGTCGCTTGGCTGCGAGCCTTCTTGGCCGCCTCCTCCTCCTTCTCCCGCTTCTTCCTCTCCTTCTCCTCCTTCTCCTGCTTCTTCTTGGCTAGCTCATCTTCCTTCTCCCGCTTCTTTGCCTCCTTCTCCGCCTGCTTCTGGCGCTTCAGTTCCTCGGCCTTGGCAGCTTCCTCAGCCTTCTTCTGCTTGGCAGCTTCCCTCTCCGCCTTCTTGGCCTCCTCCTCCGCCCTCTTGGCCGCCTTCTCTTCAGCACTCAGAACGGTACGCTTCCTCTTTTCGCCGGTTTTCTGCGTGGGATCGATGCTAGCAGTGGACGGCCCATCGGCTGGCGCCTTGGTCAGGATGACTGGTGGGGGGCGGGAGGGCGTATTAGGAGCTGTTGTCTCCCGGTCGGGCGGGCTGCTCCCAGATGCTGTCAAGCCGGGAGGTATGAGCGGGGGCGAGCTCGGAGGAGAGTCGAGATCGTCATCGTTGGCCACAGAATCATCATTGGTGGTCTTGGGTGATTTGATCTTCTTCTTCACGGGGCGGTCGTTATCGTTCTCCTCTGTTGAAAAGTCATTCGTCAACACCCAGCATCGATATGTTGCTGCTACATCAAGCCAACACGTACTGTCACTTCCGGTGCAAGGCTTTGGCTTGGGTCCCTCCGGCTCCAAAAAGTCCTTCAGAGTCCTCTTCTTGTTCGCAGACGCGGTCGGCTTGGGATCCTTGCTCGGGTCCTGGGTGGTGGACTTCATTTTATCGGTAATGCTGGAGTCCAATGCCTTCGAATGGCTTTCTCTCTCTCTCTCGATCAGTAGGCGGTTCGGGATCGCCCGGTCGGTCCAAGATGCTTATTACAGCAGAATGGTATGTAGTCGAATAGGTAAGAAGAAAGAAAGAGGGGTGAAAAGTGCAAGGTTCAAATCATGGCCAGCGGTGAAGAATGCCGGGTATACGCTCGATGTTGAACTGATCAGTGGGAGAAAAGATGTCGAAAATGATTTCTCTAGAAGCCCGACCGCGAGTTGCAAGTTCAGATACAAATCGGGAGGTGGAGATGTGGTTGTTGAGAGGTTGAACTGAGCAAGCACTTGCAGGCCAATGATTGGCAATTTGCTTGAAGGCCCTGGTTTAGCCTGGGCAGAAACGCGTTCCGGTCGCGCGTCCTTAATCAAGAGAGCGTGTTGGTAACGCGTCAAATTAGCGTAAGGTAAGTGTGTACTACCCCTACCCCTAGAGTGGCTTGGGCTGTGGCTGGACTTGAGAGCGGGTAGTGTGGCTGGTATCTTGGTCTGGGGTACTTGGGTGACTGGGAAAGCAGCAGACTGTGGAGGCGAGAGTTGGAGGAGGTTGAAGTTGAAGCCTGTCACTGAATATATATCTCTCTACGTCATGAGCACTTGACTTTGAGCGAATTCACCTTCCCATTGTCTCTATTGACAAAGTACTGTACGCCTCTTCAACAATACAAAGTTCGGGGCATCTCGATGTTTTTCCTTTGGTGGTGAGGCCAGCTGCTCTCAAAAGTTCGGCTATTGTAGATGGAGCTGAGGGTCTTGGGCAGGCGCCAAAGTCACGTATAATACCCCGTGATATAGGATCGACTTCCAAGGAACTCATCACGACCAAAATCCGGAATAATAGCCGCCAAACCCCTCTGGCAAGGTTTATTAGCTATTGTCTCAGAAGGGGAACCGTTGCTCTGGTATATTCTGTCGTCATCGATTGATCTCCATAGCACCGATTAGCAGCCTACAACGTCACATGAAGAGGGGAAGTGTACACAAAACGTTAGGTATCCAAAAGAAATTCTTGATCCGGTGAAAATTTTGCTGAGGACCGAGTCCTGCTTTTTCCGGCCCTGGATTTGCTCCAAACCAAACTGTATACTATGCCACATGCCATGACCAGCATAAACAACAGACAGCGAGTGGCGGGTATGTTATGTTGAAACCAGAAGAAACCCATACTGAATCCATTGCGCTAACTATGCTTTGAGTGACGGCCCATGAACGATCGTTGCCCTTGAAAAAAGAGGGGTATTGGTGCGAAGCAAAAGTGAAAAAGAAACAAAACGCCAAAGACCCATCCATATTAACCCTCCATAGCATTTTCAATCGGGGTTGGCAATATACAAGCGGCCAGTCGTGAGAGTCATTGTTCTCTCGTCCACACTTCCTCGTCTCTTGAGCTCGTCTGGTGTTCTCAAACTCTTTTCGCGGGTCAACGAGGCATTTCTCGCACTGTTGTTGGCCACCTGTGCACTGTTTGCCTGGAGGTCAGGCACAGTGTCCAGTCGCTCGCCGCTGCTACCGCTGGCGAAGCTCTTTGCTTTCCCATAAGCCTCCTCGCTGGCGAATTGTTGCTCGCCCTGCGTGTCCTCCACCAGTGATCCTGACCGTTCGGGGGTTCCGTGCGGGCTCCACCGAGTTCCTCCACCTTGTGTAACCTGACCGAGGCCTCCGGACGAGCGATACGGTGGTGCTGTTTTCCTGCTGCTGGTCGTGCTGCTCCTGCTGGAACTACCTTGCCGGCGGTGATTGGATCTTTGAATGGTGGCTTCATCTTCGCTTTCCTCGCCCTCCACCTCCGTAGCACTAAGACGTAAAGGAACACCGCCGACAACGTTGAAGTTGCTTCCTGGGGAGTATCCGATAACGGTGGGTTTTCCGTGGTGTCTGATCTTTGCCGCAACCTTTCCGCCGGCAGAGCTGAGCCCGGTCGAGGTCCGACCGGCACTCACCGGTCCGAGCGAAGGGCTGTTGTTGGCTCCGACCACCTCGGAGTTAGCCCGCACCTTGGCCATGCGTTGCTGGGCGAGAAGCCTGGCATCTTCCTGCTGAGCGCGGTCGCACCATACCGTAGCCTTTTGCTTTCGAAGGAGGGCCACATAGCCTCCTGGCTGCTGGGGAGAACCGGGTGCCCCGCCGGAACGGCTCGAGGTCGATCTCCTGATGTCCATGGAAGGGGAGTTTCTGTAAGGGGCACCGCCGCTGGAAATGGTGCTGAACGTATTTACACTGGGAGACCGGCGCTGATGCTGCACATGAGGTTGAGCCAGATGTGTTTGCGGGTAGTAATTGTTTGGAGGGGCGGCCGGCGATTGAAAGTGAGCGGGAAAGATGTTCGACGAGGTTGTGCGGGTCCTGGAATGGGAATAGGCAATGGCGCTCACCGCCGGATCCATGGGAGGGGCTCGCCGGCGAGCATATTCAGTTTCAAGCATTGTTCCGGCCGGTCGCGCATGCGACGCCTGAACAAGCATGCGCGCAAGGGCGAGGAGCGGAGAGCGTCGTCGAGGTCGAGAGGGGCGATCGGTGCGGATATAAATGGCGTCGTTATCTCCAGGGAAACGGCAAGACTCGAATTGGTGGGTGTCGTAGGACTTTTAGCTTTCAAAATTGGTTGTCGTGACGGCCACGCCGAGGTTCACCAAGGGCGATTGGGCGGCCGCCGCTGAGAGAGTGGTGCTGCTAAGATGATAGCAACGGCGGATGGCAATACTGATTGGCGCTTGTCTAGTGAAGCTTGAAGCTTTCCCGAGGTCGCGGAGCAGGTCGGGATCGAAGATCAACAAGGTGAGGAGGAGGACTGGAGATGTTTGTGTCGTGGAAATGGATGATGGGGGGGGGGGGAAAGTGAGACGGGCGTGGTTCAAAAAGGTTGAGTTGAGTGACTTTGGAGCGGCCGAGACTTGGCGCTCCCACGTTGCATGCCCTGCGGAGACTGGGCAAGTGGTTCCTTGTCCGATGATGTTATGGTGTGGAGATGATCCGAGTGCCCGCGGCTGCGCTGCTCCGACTGACAAGGGCGGCCTGACAAGCTCCGGCAAAGCTTCCCTGCTGTTTGCTCACCACACTGATAAGAGATCCCCTTCCTTGATTCTTTGTCTTCCTCGAGATGATGCCGTCTTTCCTCGTCTCTCGTCGTCCTGTTTTTCTGTCCTTAATATCCAGCCTTTATTGAAGGATGAGCCGGACCACCATCCCACGTCCTGAAATCACGCCAAAGGGAGATTGCAATTGTGGAAATCGCAAGGGCCGCCGAAAATGACAAAACGCCGAAACCTGGCCCTGGGCTAGGACCAAAAGTGGGCTTTGTGCCTCCCAGCACAGCTGAACAAGGCTCGAAAGAAAAAAAACTGAGGGAAAATGGTACTCTGAACCGGCATCTATCTTGCAGCGAGGAAGCACATACCGTCCACGGTGAACACCTCAGTGGCTTGCTTCCTCAATATCCCTCTGCAGCTGTCTATCAAAGAAGTTGCCGTTTTAGGTGTTGATATTGATGTTTGCTTCTCAGCTGGGCTTGAAGAACAGGTCTTGATGGTGGGGTTGATTGGCGGGGTGGGGTGGTCCACTGTTTGATGCGCTGCAGCCTGACTTCTTCTATCAACATCGAGATCTTTCACTCATCATCATGGTGGTGGGAGAAGGAAGCATTCTTGTTTTTGTCGTCGAAAAGCAAGACAATTGCTGCAGAGTTGGCACACAATAGGCACACTGTCTCAGACTGCCGGCCACAGATGAGGGGGGATTTATGGCGTACTCACGAAACAACGTCAGAAACACTACTGGAGAGGCACAGAGGCACAGATTGCAACGTCGATATTACGGAACCAACATCACACACAATTACCATACATACATATGCCAACTGCAGATTCCATCACAGCGCCCAAACCCCACAAATCCCAATCGAGGGAACGTTTCTTTCAGTGGCCGAGTGCATGAAGGGATTCACCACCTCCGCGGCCGGACCGGGCGACCATGTTGACTGCTGTCGCTCACGGAAGAAGAGGCTGAGCTTCCGTGTTATACCGCATACTTGTTGGCTTCAGAGCGATTGGTTGCCGCGATCTCGCTCTCCTATTTGGGACATAGGAAGACCATATGCAATGCGAGCAGCGGCTTGCACCACAGCGGCCCGGCTGCTTCTTTGGCCTCTTCGCCATGCCGGCTTCCCAAAGGGGAACACTGTTGCTGCACGGCAGATACCTCGCCAGCTGACGGAAACACACATCGCGAAGAATCGGAGAAATTAGAGCGTGCCACGCACGAGGCAAGGCGTCTAGCGCATCCCACGATGCTGTGTATCAGCAGAATGCCTTTCTTTTGATGGAAAACGAGCACTGCCTACTGGACAAGCATAAGAGCTCCCCCCTCATCTATGATCAGGTAAATGTTTGTATCGCTACTACAAACATTGACCAATGAGATGGCTTTCCAGGCCCATGATGGTTGCATGCAAGCGAAGGACAGTGGTCTGTGCCCAGGGCATGTCGATGGCGGGGCTGTCCCTCCGTGGGAAACGGCCTTCTCATCCGATCGCGTAGGACCGGGGCGATCCCGGCGCGGGAGGGGAGCTTTAAACATGGGACGTTGGTGTCCTCGTGCCATTTCTTCCGTCGTCCGTTCGTTCTCGTGCCATTGAAAAGAAATCGGCGCGATATCGTATCCGCGCGGGCATATCCGGGCCAAGATTGTCGTGGTTAGCTAGTCTAGTGTAGTAGCACTCGTTCCTGCGGGAGCATCCTAACACAACAGCTACGAGCTCAGCCATGACCTTCTTATATCTTTCCCCTTTACGCGGGAGCAGACTGGCTGTTGGGAACAGGCTTGTGAGAACCTGCAGGGTACCTAGCCAGGACCAGCCTTCCGGGCCTCGGTGCTTGTAAGGGATTCACCAAAAAGAGGTCGGCTGAGGGTTCAGGATGCCGGATATCCCCCAACCCAGTGTCTTGAATATCGATAGCTCGACAGGAATAGCTGAGACAATGGTTGGACTTGCCCAATGAATGGTGGTTCGCCGCTTCCGAGTCAGCTCCGGTTCTCAGGAACTGGATAAGCCGGCACCGCAATTCGAGCATCGTCAAACGACAGAATGCGATATCTTGTCGGCTGTGAGGTCAGATGAGGGTTCGACCAGATCCTATTTCCCCTCACTTCAAGTTATATCACACATGTCGTGACGTCGCGGAACGGCAAGGAGAGCATGTCAGTGGTTAGGAGTGGGTAGGGTAGCCCTGCCGGTGGGTCCGTCGCTCCCGGGGGTCTGTTTTCTCTAGGCTTGGCTTCAGGTACCGCAAGCGCACACCGCCGAGGCCGCTGTGGAAAAGATGAAAGAAAAACTGGGAAGGGACGCGATTGTTAGCAAAGAACCTTGGGCGCGGTTTGAGTGAGCTCTTCTCCATCTTCCCAAAAACTTGGAACTTGCACCCTCTTTGATCCAACGCCCGATGTCATCCAATCTTTCTCTATCTCTAGGCGCATAACGGGAACCACCCCGTCCGTACCGTACGCTCGTTCCACTCCTAGGTATCCTCACCTACCGATTACCTTACCTACCTACTTTTTCTCAATCCTGCGTGTTGATCCCCATCCTGATCCCGCGACCCGCACGCTATGGTTGGCTTGACGTCATGAAGTAAGGAAAAACACCGCGATCAAATGGCGACGGCATCCCGGTACTGACAGCATGGCCAAGGTTCGCAAAAGAGCTTGAGCAGGACGCTGTTCCAGGTATGTACAAGATTCTTCAATTCCTGGGAGGTCGGCGTGAGGTGCAATTGGACCAACGAAGCGCGGCACATGCCGACCGAGACACACGTTGCTGGGTGATCGTCACGGAGCGGGACCCCCAGCGGCCCTGGACCAAACAACACACGACGGACAACGCATTGTGGAGATATATCGCACATGGTAGAAACAACTAGGCATTGTACTAATGCCGTGAGTGCCATGCAGAATGGCGCGTCAAGTATCTCAACTACAAGCAGGGCAAGAAGCACGTCAAGGCAGTCATCCGAGCCATCAACCGTGCAGCCGTCACGCCAACGCTGGCCAGGCGCGCAGAGGCCGATCAGCACCACTACAAGACTCCCTCTATCTACTTCAACATCGGCCACAACTTCACACCACCACCCCTGAAACTGAACGATGATGGACTGCTTGGTGGAGAGCCGGATGAGGCAGGAAAGGCCAAGGCGGTCAAGGTGGTAGCAACTCCACGGGACGATGAGCGATCAGGTCTGGCGAGGTCCCCAGGCAGTGAGGTTCAGTATGGCAGCTTTGGTCCGGTGCCATCTCGCTCGAGCTATCGGCATGACTTTGAGCTCCCTGCGCCGGCGATGAGAGTTCCATCCAGGACCAGTGAACACGGTGCCCCTTCTTCACCTCCCTTGAACCGACTCGCGTTGCACAGAAGCGCCTCCATGGTAGCTACGGTTCCGAGTGGCTATCAGGACCCCTCCAAGGTCAATCTGGGTGCAGATGGTACGCCTCGCCAACGCATGTCTCGGCTCTTCACGACCGGATCGACACACACGCGGAATGCGTCCAACAGATTTACTGGCGGGAACAAGATGGAAATCGGGATGCAAAATCTAGATTCCGTCCGATCTGCGGAACGTGACTTCTTCGCCTTTCTCGACAGCGAACTGGCCAAGATTGAGTCGTTTTACAAGGAGAAGGAGGATCAGGCGACCGAGCGGTTGATGGCACTGCGAGCACAGCTGCACGAAATGCGCAACAGGAGAACGGCCGAGATCACGGAAGCGAGGAAGAAGCGCGAGACAGGCCGGAATCGGAGTCCCAGTGATGGCGACGCCGGTGAGCAGCAGGGCAAGGACGGCAGTCGTGATTGGATCGCCCCCTTGAAGGGCAAGTTTTTTAAACCGGGGCCCAATTCGAAAGCCCTCCAGAAGATGACACAAACACCGGTCATGCACCCTCAAAACGTCGACGAAGGGCGGGACTACGTCCGGAGACCACCTGGAGACGACGTTCCCTACCGAAGCGCGAAGCGGAAGCTCAAAGTGGCATTGCAAGAGTTCTACCGCGGCCTGGAGTTGCTCAAGTCCTACGCGCTGCTCAACCGGACTGCCTTTCGCAAACTCAACAAGAAGTATGACAAGGCGGTTAAGGCCCGCCCGTCATACCGATACATGAATGAGAAAGTGAACAAGTCCTGGTTTGTCAACAGCGACATTCTCGATGGACATATTCGGACTGTGGAGGATCTCTATGCCCGCTACTTTGAGCGTGGAAACCACAAGATCGCGGCTGGAAAGCTTCGAAACTTGAACAAGCGCGCCGGGGACTCCTCTGACAGCGCGTTCCGCAGCGGCATCACAATTGGACTCGGAGGTGTCTTTGCAGTTCAGGGGTTGATCTATGGAGCAGAGCTTTTGTTCAGCGAGGATGATGACCTCCGAACACAAACTGCATATCTGATGCAGCTGTACGGAGGGTATTTCCTCGTGCTTTTCCTCTTCATCCTGTTCACTCTCGACTGCCGCATGTGGACCAAAAACAAGGTCAACTATCCCTTCATCTTTGAGTTTGACCAACGGAACTTTTTGGACTGGAAGCAGGTGGCCGAGTTTCCTAGCTTCTTCTTTGCGCTCCTCGGCGTTTTCATGTGGCTCAACTTTTCGAGGTTGGGTGACTGGGAGGAGATGTACTTGTACTACCCGGTCGTTCTGATTTGCATTACCCTGGGCATCCTGTTTTTTCCGGCACCTATTCTTCACCACAAGGCCAGGAGGTGGTTCTTGTACTCGCATGTATGTTCCCCTCACTTTTTGTGTCTGGATGGCGAGCTGACTTGACCCTAGTATCGGCTTCTCCTTTCAGGTTTATACCCAGTCGAGTTTCGTGATTTCTTTCTGGGCGATATCTGGTGTTCGTTGACCTATGCCACCTGTGTAAGTTGCTACCATAACCGTGCACGGCTGGATGGAATACTGACCCTCGGGTTCAGAATATCGAACTGTTCTTTTGCCTCTACGCCAACTCCTGGTACGACCCAGAGCAGTGCAACTCGTCTCATTCCCGCCTCATGGGCTTCTTCGGCGCCCTGCCACCCATCTGGCGTGCCCTCCAGTGCATCAGGCGTTACTACGACACCAAAAATGTCTTTCCTCATCTGGTCAACTGCGGGAAATACACCATGACGATCCTCACCGCCGTGTTCCTGAGTCTTTACCGCATCGAAAACAGCCAAGCCAACTTGAGTCTCTTCATCACCTTTGGCACGGTCAACGCGATCTACTGCTCCATCTGGGATCTGTTTATGGATTTCTCACTCCTCCAAGCCGGTGCTCGGCAAAAGCTGCTCCGGAGCATTACCGCCTTGCGTCCAGTCAGCATATACTACATCATCATGACCTTGGATCCTATCCTCCGCTTCTCCTGGATCTTTTACGCCATCTTCACCCACGACAGCCAGCACTCGACGATTGTTTCGTTTCTTGTCGCCTTTGCGGAGGTTTTCAGAAGGGGTATCTGGACCTTGCTCCGTGTGGAGAATGAGCACTGCGCCAACGTAGCGCAGTACAAAGCCTCCCGTGACACGCCCTTACCTTATCATTTGAATACCTCTACTTCCAGCGTGGAGGATACAACGCCCCCCGCCCAGCAGCAACAACAACCACCAGCTGGTCTGTTAGGTCCAGCTGCCATCAACCCTGCCACTCCGGGGGTTGATCAACAAGATCAGATCCGCCCGTTGGGCCAGCATCACAGAAAACCATCTACTATTCCCCCTCGCACACCGGCATCTCAGGTCCTCCATCGGACTCCTACCAATGTTGGAGGTGGTACTCCACAGAGCATTGCAGTTAGTGACACCCCCGCGGAGGAAAGCGGTCCGGCGGCGGCGTTTAGGAGACGGTATACAGATACTATTGGGAAGAAGTCGATTTTGCAGGCCATGGCGGAGGCGCACAAGCAGGACTTTGAGAAGAAGAGGTTGCCGTTGGGGTCGGAGCCGTCGTCCACGGCCAGACGGGGCAGCGCGAGACCTGATGAGGGGGATGATGAGGAGATTAAAAGTGAAGAAGAGGAGGAGGAAGATGACGATGAGGATGACGAGACGGGGAGTGTGGAGGAGGAGAGGATGAGGGTTAGGGAGGCGGAGGGGTTGGTGAATAGGGCCAGGGGGGTTAATGCGGGGAGTGAGAGTGATTAGCTATGTGTGAGTGATACCCGTCGAGGGGGATTGCATGACACTCATGGTTTTTTTTTTGGCACTGTCTGAAACGGTTGGTTGCATGAAAGAGGGAGGGATAGATGGATGGATGCATCGTACCCGGGGTTGTTGGCTTCCTTGCACTGTTTGAACTTACTTGGGAGCTGGAACTCACTCATTGGGAGCGTTGTAGAACTTTACAAAAGGGGAGCAAGCATCGTTTCATGTTTCATTGTTTCCAATACCAAAATTATTATTATTTCATCACTGCCATCCATCTTCTGCTGCTTTGCTACGTGCCATGGCCATGCCATGTAGGAAGCCACCAAATGTGCCATTCTAGAATTGTTGAAATGGGTATTATCATCGGTGATGCAACATCGCTATCAGACCATCATTCGTACATGTTCTCCTCTCTCATTACACTCATATCCATCGCAAAAAAAATCTAAGGGCGCCACTCCTTGTCAACCTTCTCCCAGTTGTCCAGGAAGCCCTTGTAAAACTTGAGACCGAGGCCGGGATCCAAGCTACCGGTAGTAGCGCGGATGCTGTGCATGCTCAGCTGTGGGATACCGACATCGGCAGCCTTGCACCCCATGGCGCTGCTCAGCATTGGGCCGACGGTGCCGCCTGATCTGCTGTCGTTGCGGATCATGTGGCGCTGGTTGACGGTGCCAGCCAGAGTGGCGATTCTGTCCAGAATGGCCATCGACACACTGTCGGTGGTCATGTGGGCAGAGGCGTCAACGCAGAGGGCAACGCCGACGTTGAGACGTGGCGAGTGCTCTGCGAGGTTGGTCTGGGTGAAGTTGGGGTGGGCGGCGTGGGTGACGTCGGAGGAGACGAGGAACGAGTTGGCAAAGGTTTGACCCATGAGGCCTGGGCCAAAGGGAGTCTTGCCATCTCTGGCAGCGAGGGACTCGACGGCGCGCTCGACTGTCAGAGGGAGGAAGTTGCCACGAGCACCTTGGCGGAGCAGAGAGCCAATTTCCTCATCGTCGAAGAGAGCGACGAGCTTGATGATGCCCTCCTCCTCCTCCTGCTTGGCGTGGAGAAGAGCCATGAAGGCGGCCCAGGAGCAGAGCTTGTCGTCGATGCGACCGGCAAAAATGAATTCCTTGTCCATACCGCCGACTTGGGCCGGCTGGGAGTCGTAAAGCTCGAGCTCCCAGTTGAGGATTGTGCTATAGTCTTGGACGCCAATTTGCGAAGCGATGAGCTTGACAAGCTTGGGGGGCTGGGTAGCGGCAAAGGAACCAACACCGCCGAGAGGGGGTTCAGACGAGGTGGTCGAGGCACCACGAACGTCGCTGTTGTCGAGACCAATGATTGGAACGGTTTCGGTTTCGCGGTTATTGTGGCCCATCATGCCGATTCCAAAGTGAGGAGCGAGAGTAGGGATACGAGCAACTGGTGACACTTGGTTAGTCTTTGCATATTCGAGGTATGGAGTGTTGATCAAAGAACCTACTTGGCCAGTCAAGCTTGGCGAGCTTCACCGTTGTCTTGCCAGTGTCGGGGTCTCTGACGATGACACGGCCACCAATGCTCAGGTCTCTGTCCCACCAAGTCTCGTTCAAAGCACCGGCATATTGCGCGACACCCAATTGAACGTATCCATTGTTTCCTGGCTTCGTGCTTGTAGGCTTGAGGCGGGCGGTAAGAGCGTCGATGTGGCCAGCAATCATCGCAGCACCATTCCCGGGCTTGTAGGCCTTGCCGACAGCGAAGGCGATGATAGAGCTGCCATTGCGGGTAACATAGTACTTTCCACCAGGCTCCAGCTTGCCAATCCAGCTATCGCGATGGGAAAGCTCCTTGTAACCAGCCTTTGCGAGCTTCTCCTTGAAGTAGCCGACGGCATGGAAGACTGTGGGGTTCTCGGTCATGAACTCGCAGTATGGTTTGGTGAAGGCCTCGGGCTTAAGCTCTTTGGCGTCGACCTTGTTGAGACCATCATTGGCGACAGGAGAGGCGCGCGAGGCCATCATCGCCTGTTCCATGGCCATGGAACGGATGGAGAGGTTGGAATCGCGGGCCCGGATGAAGGCAGGAGTGTGACGAGTCATGGTGACGGTGATAGCGCAATCGAGGAGGGTGAGGATGAATGAAAGTTGAGCTTGTGGCGGAAGTGGTGAAAGTAGTTGAGGGAGGGAAACAGGATGACTGGTTGCGGCCGAGCTTAAGGTTGGTCTGGCGGGTGGCTTATCCGATCCATGTCCGGGCGGCGGCGGCGGCGGCGGGTGGCCTCGTGCCTGGTCCCTTATCTTATCGCAGCGGTACGCTGTCATAAACTGCCGTTGCTTTGGCGACAATCGGGTGCCTGGCAGCTGTCCTCGGGACCTGCCGCAGTGATCTTTAGAGCACACATGACCTCTTCAGCAATCTATCTATTGGTAATAGCGATGAGTTGTACAGTTCCTCTCGAGTTCAGACTCGTCGAATCGCCCACCGCTTCCTCGTGGCCGTCTCCAAGCGGTTCAGCAAGGGGAGAAAGACATCCACCTTGAGCTTGCCAAGATTCCCAATGGATGCAAGATCTCTTGGCGCGCAGCTTACTGTCGTCACTTGTGGAGGTGTGGGGGCACGGTACCGATGGGAATCTTGAAGAGGATCAGATTCTTAGCATGTCGAACTTCTCTCCTGTTTCACCGTCACAGTGAGTCTTGCTCAACAGCTTCAAACTCGTAGTGTTTTGCTTTATCACGTCTAGTCTCCGTTGATTGGCTCTCTCTTTGCAAGGCAAACGCTCACTTGCCTTGCCTCGGCTGAGCATGACGATTACACCCTCAGACCTCGCAACTGCACTGCCACCTGCCTACCTAGGTTCTTGCTCGGTATAGAATTTCTAGACGTTAACTCTGTACTTTTCTGGTATTCAATAGCCAAATACAGTCCTTCAGCCAGCTGGCCGTGGCGCAACTCTTCGCTTCTCACCTAACGATTCTCTGAACACACCATAGAATGTCGCTCTTGTCTTCCCTTCTCAACCCTGTTCCCGGGTTTCCCGAGTACACCGGCGCCTACAGGGTCGGCACTGTAGATGTCGAAATTCCCATATCGAAGCTGCCAGCCGGCAAAAAACCCGAAGGTGCCGCAGACGTTCACACAGTTCTATTCAGAATATTTTACCCGACGGTAGCTGAGGCTCAGGGAAAATACATCAGTTGGCTTCCCGCGCCTCAAAGGCTTCACATAGAGGCCTATGCCCAGTTTCTGGGCCTCGGCTCGAAAACTGCCTCTGTTCTCTCGTAAGTTCTTTTAAAAGGTTGCATCTGGAAATATTACTAAACCCTTGAACAGATTTCTACCCCGACATCTTCACTGGACCACCATCCCAGCCATCAAGAATGCTCCTTTGCTGTCTCCCCCAGCTGAGCATTCCAGCTCAAGATGGCCAACCATGATATTTTCACACGGCCTAGGAGGTAACCGCAATGCCTACAGCCATCTCGCCGGCTCCCTAGCCTCCCACGGAGTAGTCGTCATCTGCCCCGAACATCGCGACCAGAGCGCAGCTCTCACCCTCATCCGCGACCCCCAAACGCCCAAAAAGGCCACCCCCCTCGCCTACCTACGAATCCCGCACAACCAAACCCCTGAGATCTGGGCCCAGCGCGACTCCCAACTCCGCATCCGCCTCTGGGAACTCGATATGATCTTTGAAGCCATCCTCGCCATCGACCGCAACGACAACAAAGTCATCGCCTCCAACCTCAACACCAGCACCCCTGTTTCGGCCCTCTTTGCCTTGCACAACAAACTCGACATCTTGGACCCCGGCAAAGTGATCTTTGCGGGCCACTCGTTTGGTTCCTCGACCATGGTCCAGTTCCTCAAATCAGTCTTTTATTCGTCCCATCCTGCTCTGCAGTCTTTTGAGGACGGCAGGTTATTCACCCCGCGGCCTGGCTCGGCTATCATGTCACAAATCAACGGTTTGAACCCGGCTGTCTTGCTGGATATGTGGTGTTTCCCTCTTTTATCGGCCGCGTCCGACAAGCTGTATCGTCTCCCGCTGCCGTGCTATTCTGTGTCTCAAGAACAGCAAAAGATGTCGAAGATTCTCGCGGTGGAATCAGATCAGTTTTTCAAATGGGGGACGCACCTGCACCGCACGGCGAAGGTTTTGTCTGCTGATCCGACCGCGGAGGTTGTGAAGGAGTCGCCTGACCACCCGGCGCCGTATTTGTTTTATATAGAGAAATCTGCACATTTGAGTCAGTCGGATTTTGCGGTTTTGTTTCCTTGGTTGACGAAAAAGGCTTTCGGGTCGGAGACGCCCGAGGCGGTGTTGAGTTTGAATGTGAGGGCTGCGGTGCAGTTTTTGAGGGGGAATGGGGTTGTGGTTGGGGAGTCGAGGTTGGAGAGGGAGAGGGGGGATGTGCTGCGGAGGGGGGTGGAGGTGGCGAAGTGGAAATGGGTTGATGTGGTAGGGATGGGGAGGAGGGTGTATCCGAGTGAGATTGAGATGAGGAGGGAGGAGAGGGGTGAGGAGGAGGTGGAGGAGTCGAGGAGGGAGGAGAAGGGGATGGGTGGGGAGATGGAGCCTGGGGTTGGGGAAGAGGATAAAATGAAGGAGAATGGGGTCACGGGTGGGGAGAGGTTGTAGGTGCTGGGAGATGGGATAGAGGTATATTGGTGTATAGACTTGGAGGTGGGCTGCGCTGGAGTTCACAGAGGGGAATTATTAAACTGGCGTCATGCTGACGACTATTGTTTAGAATATTGATTTGTTATATTAGGGTATGTCAACAGTGCCATTTCCTGGCCTATACTCAAAGAATGCAAAACTATCATCAACAAGGGGGTATCATCCAAACCTCTCAAACAAAAGAAATCACTCCTACAGCAAAACGAGTGACAAGATTCAAAACCACCCGCTGAACCTGTTTCTCTGATCAGGTCAGCGCTATCCACCATCAAAACAGACAAAAGAAACCACTTGGACCCTTTCAAGCGAACGACACCTGGTATCTATCCAGCACCACTTTCCACCTTTCCCCGAGACAACCCACCCTCCCCATTTCCCTACCGATAAACAGGAAACCCCTCCCCATCCAAAGGAATCAGCTCCTCCTCCCCCTCCACCCCGCCCAACCAAGCCCTTATCCTCTTTTTACTATCAACCTTTGTATCCACCACCTTCCCCTCTCTAATCTTCCTATCCAGCATCTTTTTCTTTTTTGCCAGCTCACTATTCGAGACGCCAGTCCCCTTGTTCTTAGTGATGACCACCCCCCCATCCACCCCTTCCTTCCCCCCTCCCGCGGGTGGCGGCGGCGAAGCTAATGACTTCCCCTTTCTCGACCTACCCTCGGTAAAAAGCCACATTACCGGCCCGATCGGCCTTTTTGGCGACGAAGATTTTTTAGCGGGGGGGTTGACGACTTTTGGGGGTTTGGGTGCTGGTTGTTGCTGGGAGGCTGTCTTGGGGGGTTTGGATAAAGGGGAAGGTTTCCGGATGGGGGAGATGGATTCTATTCTTGTGAGGGCGAGGCCGGAGGTTCGAGGGCTGGGGTTGGAGGTGGTGATTGCTTCTGTTGGGCGGCCTGTGGACTTTGTGATGATGGTGGGATAGGAGGATTTGGGGTTTGTGAGGGCTGATCGGCCGGAGCGGTGGGATTTGAGGGCGGGGGAGAGGGGGGGTTTGAGGTGGGTGTTGGATTGGGGAGAGGGGGTTCGCGATGGGGAGGGGGATGAAGAGGAAGAAGTGGATAAGGGGGTTGTGTCTTCTATTGTTATCTTGGGGGAGCTGGGTTGGGATATTGGTTGCATGTGGGGGTGTGGGAGGGGTTGGGGGTCTGGTTGGGGGGTGATGGTGGTGGTGGGTTGGGTTTGTTGGGATATTGTTTCTAGGTGAGGGTGAGGGAGTGGTTTGATTTCGGGTTCTGGTGATGTTTTTAATTGAGTTTGCTGGGTTATTGGCTCCAGGTGAGGATGTGGGAGGGGTTGGATCTCGGGTTGAGGTGGTTCTGGTTTGGGTTGTTTTTCGTAATCCCATTGATCTGGACGTGAGGGTTTTGACGTCAGTGGATTGGGACGGGAAAAGGGGGGGGTGATATGCGGACATACCATTTGGAAGTTTTCTCGCACGCCAAAAGTACTCGTTGTCCTCGCTGAGGTACCATTCCGACCATGACCCGGGACCCTTTGATGTTGAGTTTTTCTTTGACTTTGACTTTGACTTTGTCCTTGTAGGTTTTGATTTTTTTGATTTCGATGGCTCTTCGGGTATGACGGGTGTCTTTGCACGACGAGAACCCTTGGGGACGCTATAGGTCGGCGTTGGCTCGACTGTCGTGGCTTTCGCGGGAGGAGAGGAGGATGTCGGCCATAGTGATGACCAGAAATCCCGATTGGGGTGTGCTGGGATGTTATATTCTCTTGGTTTGGAAGCCATTATCGGTTCAGTGAGCAGCCCGTGTCATTGGTAATGGCTACCTATGTTCGTTGAAGGACATCAGAGAAGGGTTACACCATGGTACGAACAAGTTGCTTACGGTTTACTTTGATTACAAGGAGGTTCTGACTCCCAGAGTATGGGAAGGTGAATGAAGGGAAGTCAGAGACACCTGCATAGCTGTGGGTCAACCTATTAAGTACCAGTGGACTGACAGAAAGAGCCGCACAGGGGAACAACGGCGGTCTAGCGGGTAGCGCGAAGCGGCCAACCTCATCCGAAGATCCAACGAGCGGAGTGGCGATGCTGTTTACTTCAACCATATGGGCTGCCGGAAGAGAGGCCCCTCCCCATATGAGCGCTGTCGTTGCAAGCGGGGCCATGACACACCACTCGACAGTCGGCACCAGACCGGCTGCTGTCACCCAACAATCTTGATCGCTCTGGCTCATACCAAATGACAAGAAAGCTCAGATCTGACTTTCAACCTATCGGGGCCGCCTCATAAAACCTTTGCATGCTCCTAGACCTGCTTCGGCTCGGGTTTGCATGCTTGGTGCCCAACGTGTCATGGTGCCAACGCAGGTCGGTGGTAGCTGACCCACCCCAGACTCACATGATCTTGGGTCAGTCAGTCCAAACAGCAAACGACATATATCATGTTGAATGTGGGGAATGGAATGAATGGAAGGGAACTAGACGCCTCTTACCCGGATGGCGTGTCGGTGTCGGCTTTCCACCAGGCACGCTTCGGGCCGTGAGAATCATCAGATCTTGGCTGCCAATGAGATTCTAAAGTCTGAAGAAGGAGCCATAATTCGAAGGGAACATCAGGCGGGTAATAGATCGGATCGGGCTGTCCAGGTTGATTGTGTTTGCAGGCTCATGTGTCATTGTGGGCCAAGCTAGAGCATGTAACCTCAGTCATTGCTGTCATGGTTTGGGAATTCGTCAGGTATCCTGAGCAAATATCTTGATATCACTTTGTCAGATGGTAGATAAGGGTACACTGATAAACTTTTATGTGCCCTCGTGTCTAGCGGCGCACGTGACCAATTTGAACCTTGGGGGTAAGTCTATCTACCTTACTCACGTGTGTCGGTGCGAAGATGCAAAAGGAATCAACATATCACTGACAACCATCGCTTTTTGACGTGAAGACTATCCTATCCGGAAACGAGCTCTGGTTCACAGTCACGGCCCAGCTCGCACTAGTGAGGTCTCAGCTTGCAGGAGTCAGATCACAGCTCACAGAATTCAGTCCCGTAGATCTAAGGAGAAGCGCAGAGCTGTCGGTGGCTAAAACGGGGATATAATTGACGCCAGCATGATGGACTTGAAAGAAAGCTGGTGGAATGTCAGGACTTGGAGAGTGTTGAGTGTAAGTGTATTTTAGAAATCAGGATAATTAGGGCAATTATTGAAAACCCCGCCTATAAACTTCTCGTTCATTGACAGTTCATTATGAAAGTCTGCCCCAAAGAAGAATACGAGAACTCTATAGAGCCCCCAAAAGTATTATCCACTTAGAATCAGCACATTCGATCAAGCTTTTCTTATCTGTGTATTTTCCGAGGTACATAAGAGCTCTCAAGGAAACATTGAGTTTAGTTGCAAGTGGCCACGCCGATCATGGCCGGTATGCAGTTGATATCTTTGAACTCACATTTAGGTTTTCCAGTGGCGCTTGTGAGCTTGCAGCAGCAGGATGGTTCGAAAAGTGACGGCGCCCAACCCCAGGTGGGTGCCATGAAGACTTTTCTCTTCAAGAATTAAGGGTTAATTCATCATGGTTTTGCAGAGGTATTTAAACTGACCCTGTTTGTTTTCTTTTCTTTTGGAATCCCGAAAGTCCAACTTGACACCAATCCAACTATCAAACAAACCTGGTACAAGTTACCAGTTCATTGGTGAGGCTTTTGCCTTTTCCCTTAATATTCCCATCAAACAAGTCTTAACTAACAGTGTTTGTCACGGTAGAAGATCTCAATTGCGACAGTATGGACCCAAGGTTGGACGACAGCGGTATTGCGGTGCTCACCAGTGTTGGCGTCCCTGCATCCTATTGCCTCATGTATGACGACGGATACCGGCATGACACCTCCACCGGGAAATTTCTGAGCCCCAACTTCAAGTCCTGGAAAGACCATCATTCAGCGAGCTTCCTCAAGGAGTTCCACCAGCGTTTCCCAAGCGTCAAACGAATGATACAGAATGGCGAACTGCCCGGAATCACCACGGATAAGTATCTCCCTGATGAAGCGGCAGATGCTGCACGACAGACTGGAGGTCAAGGAGTTCTATCTCAAAGACTTTGTGGTTGCATGCATGATAGACGTTGAGCACTTCACGGCCATCGCTGCTCATTACGGAAAACAAGACCCAGATCTGACAGATCTTTGCCTCGAAGCTTATATGGACATTCCTCGGGTCGAACCAAAACCAGGTTATTCACCACTTCAACTTGGCGCTTCCGCGTACGAGACTTCATTTGTGATGCACCATTTTGCATTGCTAGCGGACCTCGGGGACATTGCATTGTCATACACTCCTGCCATGACCGTGGAAGAAGCTTGCAAGAGGTTTGATGTCAATATTCATCAACCAGTCCTTTGCTTTCACCGCGTGGTCGAGAGGATGGTCTACCATATCACCCATGTAGACGCCAAACCTGAATCAAACCAGTGGGTCTCTTCAAACACACAAGGTCGCTTGCAGTCGGACTTCTGACTTGCAATCGGACACCTGACTTGCAATCGCCAACTGTCTAGGGTCATAATCGAGAGCGGTGTTCACCTCAAAGCCAGGCCTTTCCTAATAGAGGTAGTCAAAAAGCACCGACGAAGGTTCTACCAAGATATCTGGCCAGAGGGGCAAGATCATCCCACCATAGGCACTAGACGACTTTATCTGTGTGGCTACGTCTGTCGTCCCTTCAGGGAGCCGTCACGTCCTGCTGCTATCGGGTATGTTTCAAGCTCTCTGATGTCAGTTCATCGAAGCTCAAGCGGGTACTAGTTCCTAATACTTTTTCACGATAGTGGATTTTCCAACGTGAAGACTCGAATAGGCCCGAGACGTATGACTGGCACCATAGACTCGACTCTGGGCTTAGAGATAGGTGATAGCCTCGGAAGTTGGCAGGGAGAAATGACAATTTCAGTATTTTGGTCGTGCCCTAACAGGTACCTGTACTTTTTCCAGGCCCG